CCCCAAACCCTCAACCCTAAACCCCCGCGTCTTCATTCCGCTTCGGAGGCACTGGCGACTTGCCGGCCCTAGCACGGCCGCGGCGAGCAGCTCCGCAGCTGGCAGTGGCCGTCTCCAGGGATGCCTCTCGTTGGAGGGTAGGGTTTAGGGTTTAGGNNNNTTTGGGGTTTAGGGCTTTTGGGTTTTTGGGTTTAGGGTTTTTGGGTTTGGGGTTTAGGGCTTTTAGGGTTTAGGGTTTTAGGGTTTAGGGTTTAGGGTTTTTGGGCTTGGGGTTTAGGGCTTTTAGGATTTAGGGTTTAGGGTTTAGGGCTTTTGGGTTTAGGGTTTTTGGGTTTGGGGTTTTAGGGTTTAGGGTTTAGGGCTTTTGGGTTTAGGGCTTTTGGGTTTAGGGCTTTTGGGTTTAGGGTTCAGGGTTTTTGGGTTTAGGGTTTATAGGGCCTATAGGGTTTAGGACTCTTTAGAGAGCGCTAAACCCTAAACCCGAAGCTCTAAACCTTATAAGCTCCACACCCGAAACTCTAAGCTTCTAAACCCGAAACCCTGAACTCTAAACCCGAAAATTAATGCTTCTGAACCCGAAGCCCTGAACCTTAAAGCCTCAACCCTCCACCGTAAGTGTAGGGTCTTGAAAGGATGTCGGGCTTGAGATCCCGGGGCTTTGGGACTTCGAGGCTTGGGCGCAAACAAACCCAACACTACCTTAGGGCTTATAGGGTTTAGGGTATTAAGGGTTAAGGGTTTAGGGTGTTAAGGGTTAAGGATTTAGGTTTAGGGTATTAAGGGTTAAGGGTTTAGGGCTTAGGGGATAAAGGGTTTAGGGTTTAGGATGTTAAGCTACCATAGCGGACTTTGTCGTAGGTTCTTCTTATAAACCCTAGAAGATGCAGTCTACAAGGGACCCCAGACAAACAAAGTAGGTAAGTACACTTGAGAGCCTCAAAGGGCTTTAAGATGTTCGGCCCTTCGGGTTGAGAGGAGTGGATCTTGGGGTTTAGGGTTTAGTAGGGTTTAGGGTTTAGGGTTTAGGGTTTAGGGTTTAGGGTTTGAGGCATAGGGCATAGGGTTAGGGTGGCGTCGGGTAGCACAGGGTTCCAAAGTCTTACATGAGCCCTACATCGAAACCCTCCACACCCTCAACCCTAAATCCTGAAGCCTAAATCCTAAGCCCTGAGCCCTAAATCCTAAAACCTAAACCCTGAACCCGGGATATCCTAAGCTGCAGAGCAAGCCCTGTGGCCTCACGCAAGTGCCGGTTGGAGGCACTCTGCTCGGAATCGCAGCCTTCTTCCTGCAGCAGGTGGGTTTCACGCCTATGCCTAGACCCTAAACTGCCCCAAACACTATTAACCTTCTAAGCCCTAAACCTCAGCTGGCCCTAAACCTCAGCGCTAAACCGTACAGAAGCCCTAAACCCGATAAGCCCTACGCATATTAAACCCTATGAACCCCATAAACCCAGTAAGCCCTATGACCCCTAAAGTCCGTAATCTAGAATGAAAGACCCTAAGCCCTAAACCCAAACACCCTAAGTGACCCCCTGATCCCGAACTCGTTTCCCGCGAAACCTGACCCTGAACCTGAGGGATTTGGAGTTTGGGGCTCTTACGGATTATGATTTCTGGCTTGCAGTTTAGGGCTAGGGTTCCAAGGTTCATGGGCTTCCAATTTTCACGTAAGCATCTCGGATTTAGGAAGTGGGTTGTTGCGCGCAGCAGTGTACAATACGTCGACACCCCACTCCCCACCGAGGCTATCTACGACGCCTCCTGCGGCACCTGCTGAGCAGGGAAGCCTGGTGCACCGGAGGATGTTGATGCAGCAGGCTCTGCAGCTGTTGTCGCCGATGCGAGCTCCGCAGACCCCGCAAGCTCTGCAGGCGTGGGTGAGCTCTGCCTGACAACATGGGTTTTTTTTAGAAAATCGGGGTGGGCTTAAACAATTCGAAGCGTTCGGAGCCGTTCTGCAAACCCTGCCCCGCAGTTGGACTGCTATGCCCTCTGCTTCAATGGCGGCGCACACCAGCACCTCAACATCTTGAGCAAAACAAGCCCTACACCCTAAACTAAAGGCCTGCTACAACCACAGACCCTGTCAGAATAGCCGCAACGACCTTACGGATCCTCAACTTTGCTGTCTTTGCCCAAACCACTTGAATCTTCTTACCCATAGGCCCTAAAGCAGTTCCTTTTTGGGGTTACCCTATAGGATTCTATATATGAACCCCAAAATCTACGGTTTGACCCATGGGCCACTAGTATGGGCCCGTAACCCCTGGGACCCTTATATACCTACTATATACCCTATATATGTACCCTTAAGGGACCCTAGAACCCCCTAAGGGCCCATATTAGGGGCCCATACTTCTAACCTTGGACAAAAAGGAACTACTTTAGGGCCTATGGGTAAGGCCCATGGACCTCGACGGCATGGTCGCAGGTTCCGCAGGCTCCGTCTGTGCGCTGCGGCTCTCCCGATGTGCGTCCTGAAGGGTTTAGGGTTTAGGGTTTAGGGGTTGGGGGCTACACTCTTTCTCAGTATCCGGATTGGCCCCACATGCTCAGTTACGTCCTCATCTGTCGCGGGTCTCTAGACAATTACTTCTAGCTCGTTGTGTGCTTGGGAAATTTGGGGTTTGGGGTTTGAGCTCGTTGTCTTTTGGGACCAACTTTAAAGCCATGGCGGTTCTCAGGGCGACGTGCAGGGCACGGTGTTCAGGTGTGTGAGAATTTCGGGCTTGATGCCGCTGGACACCCTATTTCTGAGCCAAGTTTGTTTTGGCATAGATGACTTCAAGTTGACTTCTAACGATGTCTGTCTGCATCGGGCTTCTTCATAATTTCATGATTCCACTACGTCCGTATACGTGGTCTATGTGGTACCCAACAGACGTCTGGAAACCAGAATCCCTGGCTCCCTGAACCCTAAACCCAGAACCCAAAGGCAGAAGGGAGGGTAGCGAATCTGAAGGCACCCAAAGACCCCAACATCCCTCAATTAAGGAATATACCTTAAATTATAGTTGGATCCCTTATGATTTAAGGTATATTCCTTAATTAAGGGATGTTGGAGTCTCTGGGCAGCTGGAGGGCTCCGAGGCGCTGTCAAGAGTCTACTATTCACTCGTCCGGGGCGATTGAAAACTTCACATGGGGGGATTCCCCTGTTGTTGGAAGTGTGTGGGGTGTAGGGCTTGGGGCATCGTGCATGTGTCACTTGGGGAGGGATATTGCAGCTTGCAAAGGTGTATCCTGCTGTTTGGGATCTATGATAGCACCCCCCCCGTGAGAGGTTATGTATGTCTTGCTAACGTCGATGTAGCTTTCCTGGAGAGCCCACAACAACTCGGTAAGCCATGTTACGGATACATCTTCACAAGTTCAAGAACTGCCACACCTTGAGGGTCTCGGATTTTGGGGTGGTAGGTTTTCGAGACTTCAACTTCAGACAGCTCATGGCGGATCCCCTGACTCGCAGGGAAGGCTCAGATGGAACTGCTAACCATTGATGGAGGGGCCCCACGACCTAGAACAGGATTTGTTAGGGTTATATTATACTGTGCGTACTTACTCATAGTAAGGAAGCCTCTAAGGATCAATGCTCGTGATTTTTGTTACCTCCATGGTGACTGAGTTGAGGCCAACCTCAAACCCTGAACCTTGTACGGCCTATCACGAAACTCTAACTCTTTGAGTGGCCCAGTCTGGAAGCGTAGAATATACTCATGCCCAAGAGGTGCCAAATAGATAGGGCTTACCTGGACCCCAAAAGTATGCAAAATAATGGCCCTTTATAGGTTTTGGGCTGTTATTTTACTTACTTTTAGGGGTTTAGGTAGGGTGCAGAGCCTAGGATCTACAAGCAGGATCTGGGAACCTAGTAATGCTACTTCCGCTAGGCTTCTGAGTAGCGGCGCTGTTTAGGGCTTTAGGCTTTTAGGGCTTCGAGCACCATCGCAGTCTGAATAGCTTCATTCCAATATGCCCCAAGGGCCCAAAGCCCTTTGCTGATTATTAAAGCACCTGCATGGATCCAAACCGAATCCAAACCCCATAAGACCCAGCAGAAAATTCGGCTTTTTGGCTTCTTCCGCTGCGTCCATGATCTCCTTCCATGTACTGAAAGCTGCCTGCAGTGCCTTAGCTGCTCAGCCCATGAAAAGCATGAGATTGCATTTTCCAAGGGGGAAATCGAAACTCCAGAATGCTCAAAGTTTGCCTACTCTCCGACGAAGCTGCGGGTACTTTCAGCCCATGCTGCAGCATCAGTCGGCCCGCCATAGGACTCTGCACCAAAAGTCGGTTCAACGAAGACAAGGGGTAAAACGAAGAGTGCCAGATATGTCCATTGTAGACCATGAGCCTGCTCAGGGATTGAAGGCCACCAGGTATCCCTTCCTGAACTTCCTGCCCTTCCTGGTCTGGCTTTTCTTCTTCTTCATCTTCTGAGCATCGTTATTTGTCCGCGCCTCTTTTGCTGATCAATGTAGAGTTGTGGCTGCGTCATGCGTTGACGTGGCGCATTCTACAGTCTCTTCCATAAAGTGACATACATTATCTTGGCCCATTTTCTGCTCTCAAGGGAAGTTGTAGTATGAGGATGTTAAACATCCCTGGACAGCAGAACCATTGCGTTGTGTCTGTGCGTGTATCCTTCTCCTCGTAGTCACAGGGTGGCTTTAAGATTTCTGCTGGCATTGGCACTGCAAAAGCGAAGTACTGGAACTGCTTAGCAACGGTACCACTGTTGGGACTTTGCTGGCCGTGGTACTCTCACGAATATGACAACGTACTTTAACAAACATAGATATGAGTGTCTTATAGTATAGTGTTTTGATGTGAGTGTCATCGCTACAAAATCTGCAGGCAACCTCCTTCTCCTACTACTACCCCCACCCCAACCTGACATATTACTTTCAACTCTCTCTGAACCTCAACTTCACAACTGAGAAACAAGCTCATGGTTCGATCCCTTTACCCTGTCATGTCTACAAGCGGCGTCCGTGCCTGTTCATCCGAAAAGGCTCCACGTGCACAAGCTCGAAGAGCCCAGCATGATCTTCGCCTCTGGGCAATGCCGGCCCCGGCCAGAGCCCAGCACAGGTGCCACAACCTCACAAAGGCTTGGATTGGGTTCGGGGTCTGAAAGAGTTTACCCTAAACCCTTAACCCCGGGTATAGGGGTTTGGGGTTAGGTCGATTATGTTTTCTGGGGTTTAGGGTTTTCAGCGTTAAGGCCCAAAACACTTTGAGACTTAATGTTCAAGCGAGCCTGTCAGTCATGACGAAGAACACCCTGAACGACAAGCCCTGAAGCCTCAACCCAGTCCAAAAGCGGTAACAACCCAAACCCTAAACCCTAAA